GTCCGGGCTGGGGATTCGAACCCGCCACCTTAGGTGTACGTGGCTGGCGCCTTAGCCGGTTGAGCTATAGGCGCCGAGCCACAACTCCCAGCTCTTTTGTTGCAGTTGTCATTGCTGTTTTAGCTGGCTGGGGCCAGGTTCAAACCTGCCATTTTCCATATATGGGGCCAATGCCTTACCCACTGAGTTCAAACCCGCCACTCTCCGTATATGGGGCCAACATCCTACCCACTGAGCCACAGGCCTTGCCCTCTTTTCTATTTTTAGTAGAGATGGGATCTCACTCTTACTTAGGCTGGTCTCAAACTCCTGAGCTCAAGAAATCCTCTAGGCTAAGCCTCCCAGAGTGCTAGGATTACAGGTCTGAACCACTGCACCCGGCCTCAATGGTCCTTTCTTTACTTGCAAATCTGAGGAGGAGGTAGGCCTTCTGGTCCAGGGCTGAGTCCAGCCAAGTGGGGAGAAGATTCCCGTCAGGACCCCTAAATACAAAACCAAATTGGATCCACACAATAAGGTAAAGGAGACATTGCTTTTCTTTTTTAAATGAAATTCATTTATCAATTACTTCTTCTGTGCCAGGCCCCTAGAGATGAGTAAGAAACAGCCTCTGCTCTCTAGGAGCTCCCCATCAGGTGGCAGAAGTAGTATCAGCTACCATGACACAGGTAAACGTCAAAAGTGCTTCAATACATGTCCCTCGTACCCATTCAGCCCATCTGCCACAAGTAAGGGAACAAATGTCCCCTCCATCTAAAGCATTACTAAGCCTTTATCGAGAGCTTTTTTGTGTGCCCAGGACTATGCTTTTCCTGCTAGAGTTGACAACAAAGAAAAATGGTACCTCCCAGCCACAGCCCTCATGTACATAATGCAAAGGAAACTTTGATGTCTGTTGTTCCATGTAATCCCCAGTGCCATCCTGGAAAGGGCTGGGCTGGGCTGGAAAGGACCTTTATAAATTCCCAAGGAGGTGACAAGAGGGAGGTGAGAGCAGGAGACTGGATGCTAATGACAGCAGGCTTCCCTGGGGGAGCCGAGAGGAGAGATGGGATTATGGGCTCTTTCTCTGCCCTACACCATGATGCCTACACATTAATGATGACAAACTGTTTTTGACAGTCTTCTCTTTGCAGGAACATTGACCATCCTGGTATCCCTTCACCTACCTAGGGCAGGAGCCAGCTGGAAAAACAGACTTAGAGTGTGAGCTTTTTGGCCCAAAGTCTCCTAACCTGTGGGGATCCAGGATGTAAGAGGTCAAATTTGGACCCCAGCACCAGCTGGTCAGTCTTCCTCCAGGCTGGCCCAACAGCAATGTAACTTCAAGGGGCCTCCTGGGTTAGATGCTATCCTCCCTTCACCCATGGCCCAAACCCGATCCTGCTGCAATTCCCCTGGGCTTTCACACCCCTGTGTCTTGGCTCCAGCCGTGCCCTTTCCCAGCCGCTGACCCACTCTGGTCATCCTCCACAGCTCTGCTTAGATGCCACTCTGCCTACTTTGGTTTTGCTGGTGTTAAAGTGTGCTTAATAATAAGTACTTTCCAAGAAGTTTACAGGCATTAGCATTTAATTCTCATAGCAGTCCTGTCAGGCGGGTACTATTATTTTACCCCACTTAACATGAAAAACCAAGAAGAGAAAGGAAAAACAGTGTGCTCAGGGCTAGACAACTCAGAATGGTGCAACTGGAATTCCTTCCAGAGAGGCTTGACCCAGAGTCATGCTGCCCATTTTCAAATTTCAGCTCTGCCATTTAGCTTTGGGCCTTGGGCAAATTAATCTCTAAGAGTCTCAGTTTCTCATGTGGTGGCTCATGCCTATAATCCTGGCACTCTGGGAGGTGGAGGCAGATGGGTCGCTTGAGCTCAGGAGTTCAAGATCAGCCTGAGCAACAGTGAGACCCCATATCTACTAAAAACGGGGGGAAAAAAAACTAGCTGTGTGTTGTGGTAGGCAACTGTAGTCTCAGTTACTCAGGAGGCTGAGATAAGAGGATCACTTGAGCCCAAGAGTTTGAGGTTGCTGTGAGCTATTATGATGCCATGGCACTCTACTCAGGGTGACAGAGTGAGACTCTGTCTCAAAAACAAAAAAGCTTCTTCAACTATCAACAGGGCTGATAGTGTTACCTCATGGTACTGGGCAAAAGTTACAAATTAATAAACATAGTGTAGAGAGGAGTTCCAGGCACATGCAAGTGCTCCAAAAATATTAGCTATTCCATTTTAGTCATAAAGGAGTCCTGTTTACGCATGGTTTCAGTTACCTACGGTCAACCACTATCCGAAGATAGGTGAGTACAGCACAGTAAGATATTTTGAGAGACCACATTCACATAACTCTTATAGTATATTGTAATTTTTCTATTTTAGTTACTGTTAATCTCTTATTGTGCCAGGTTATAAATTAAACTTTCTCATAGGTGTGTATGTATAGGAAAAAGCATAGTATATATGGGTTCTGTGTTATCTTTAGTTTCAGGCATCCACTGGGGGTCTTGGAACATACCTCCCTTGGATAAGTGGGGACTGCTGTGTTTACTATTGTCTCCAAGGGCAGAATCAATTCATTCAACTCAGTGGTCCTAGTGTTGGAGGGAAGGCCTCCCCCTTTCCTTGGTTCAGGGAGCCCTCTGCAGAAGTGCTATGTAATGTGAAGATGTGGGCCTTTCAAGATGAGCCAAGTCTTTGGCCCTCTGTGGGATCCTCCTATGGATTGTCTGCCCTGCTTCTCTGGGCTGGAGTCCCTGCCCTAGAGGGGCAGCTTGTGGTGCCAGGAGAAGAACCTGAGCTTGGGGCCAGGGGTCCTGGATTCTAGTCCTCCCCCTGCCACTGTCCCGTGGGAGACCTTGGGAAGTCCTGGCTTGGCCGGCTGGTAGAAGCAGATAATGGGAGATGTACTGTGGGAGGCTCTGGGGCCTGCTGGGTAGAAGCCAGTTTCCCAGCTCTAGGGCTCAGCCTTTGGCTGGGCCTTAGAAGGAAAGAGCTGGTCCCAGCCAGTTGGAGTGTCTCAGACCTCAGGCTTCTTTTGTCAAATCCAGTTAGCAGGTCTTGGCCCCAGTCCTATTCCTGGTTCAATGGGACCCTAGGGACTCCTGTTGGAGGGCTTCTAGGTGCAGAGATCATCCCGTCTTTGCCCCTCTGTGTGTCTACTTGCCTGAGCTCTGGGGACCCCTCCTCCCTCCTGGTCAATGGCCCCTCGCCAGACCCCGCTCCACAAACTGCAGTGCCTTGCTCCCATGCCAACTGCTCCAGCTGCTCTAGGTCTGGAGGGGGCCAAGGAGCAAGGTCCCCCCCCCAAGGCTGGCACTCTTGTTGCCATGGTAGCAGTTGCCTTGGAAGCGCTTCCCTGACTTCAGCTTCTGAACAGTCCAAGAAAGCTGCCCGTCCCCTGGGGGACTGGTGAATTAATCACACTCTTTTCCAGGGTTCTTACCCCTCAAGGAAAATAAACAGAACCAAACCAAGCCAGGGCCTTTTCATCCACTCTTCCTCCCCATCCCCCACACTACACTTGGAGTTGGTGCTCTGAGAAGGGAAGAGCATAGGCAGCCATCCTCCAGCCCTTGCCTCCCTGGGAGACACAGAGGAGAGATTTCATGATGGAACTCAGCAATGTGTCCATAGCCATGCCACACCTAAGCACTGTCCTCAGATCCCCACCAGGAGGGCCCAGGCTTGGGCAAGGAGGTGCTCCTACTTGTGAAGGGGGAGGGGATTGGTGGGGTGGTTGGGCTGCGGTACCTTTGGCCCCCTTCTCAGGTGAGGCCCACAGAGAAGAGTTTTCCTTAACTCATTTACTTACCTATTGCTATAAGTACATAACCCCAAGATAAGCATCTCTTTTTCAGAGATGATATAGCCCATATTGAGGGAAGAACTGGCAAGCTCCCTCTCTACATTTGTAATCCACAGAAGAGCCTTTAATGATGTTCTCTGGTCATGAGGGAGAGCTGCAGGCCTTGATATATTCTTTGGGGCATAGTGTCTCCCTCTGATGGTGGGGTTCCAGTCCCACCCTCCACCCCCACCTCAAATTAAGACTGTAGGAATTTGGGGCAGAGATATGCTCACGGACTTCACAGCTGGCGGGTCCCAGAGCACATAGGTTCCATCAAAGACTCTGGAGCAACTCCCTCCGTCCTTGTGTCTTGGTTTCCCCATCTGTCCTGGAAGGGAGTTGGGATGGCTTTGTGGCTCCAGAATCTTGTAACTGATAATGGCGGGATGTGTCTCTCCATATTTCCTTGAAGGATTGATGATGTCAAAGAAAAACTAATTTAGAATTTAGTCTCCAGTTTGGGAAGGTTAGGTGTTTTCTGGAATCTAAAACAGAGACCAGCATCCCTGAGCCAGCAGCTTGGGGTCACCAGATGAGGGAGGTATGCTCAGCAGGGAAGGATGGCTGGCACTAGCACCACAGCATGTGGAGGGAGACATGGCCCCTGGGTGCTCTGTCATGGTATGCCTTAAATCATGAGAGGAGCCAGCATGGGCCCTGCCCAGCACAGAGTCACACAAACACAATGAATAGGGGATGGGGGCAGAGACATCCTGCACGGTCCTCAGATCCCCAAAGCTGAACCGCTGAGGAACACATTTTCATGATTATTTTGGTAGCTCCTTTTAAAACTAGTTAGTAGATCATTACATGTGACAGAGCGACAGGTCTGTCATTTGGTGCCTAATTAGAAGAATACTCAGACCTCATCCTGGCAGCAGGCACAAGAGATGTTTGGCGGCAGCACCACAGCTGGGGAATGCCCAGCTCTAGGGGCTTTCTCTATATAGAGGCCAAGAGCACAGCCTGAGGGCCCATCTGTGCTCTGCAGTCACCTCACCTCTCATCCTCTCCAGAGGAGGGCCTCACCCAGACTGCTCTCCACCTTCCTGGCAGCGAAGCTGAAGCTCCACTTGCGTGACCCTGGAGACTTTTTCAGCTCCACTCCACACCCAAGAAGAGCCTCTTTTGAGCTTCCATCTTACCCACTGCCCTCCTCTTTGCTGATCCAAGGTGCTTGTGCAGGTCCAAGCCCTCTCCCTAAACTCTGTCCTTACATCCAGAAGCCTAGCCCAGGTCCCATCATCCCTGACATTCCATGGAGCTCATTCCCAGAACCTGGAGGGGTTCTCAGTCTACAGAGAAGATAGAATGAGAACAGCTAGTGGGTGCTTCAGTATGGGGCCGCAGGAGCAGGGGTGAGCAGCCCACAAGCTCAGGGTGGTTAGTAAGGGCTTCACAGAGCTGGGGCTTGTCAGGCAGGGGCCTGGTGGAGGGGGAGGTGTTTTCCAGATGGCAGAGGGCAGGAAAGGAGAAGGCCAAGGGGCAGGGCAGCTGTGGAGGCAGGAGGCGTTGAGCCTGGCTTCATGAGACCACATGTGGTAAGTGAGAGGGAGCATCCAGAGAGAGGCCAGTGAGTTTGGTGATAAGAATATGAGCAAGGGGATGGGACCCTGGGAACTGTGCCCAGGCCCTTATCCTGGGATTAGAGAGGCCCTGATCCATAACGGCCCAAAGAATGCAAGACCGGAACCAGGTTCTAGGGACAGGGCCCAGGGTTGGGTTGGATTGGGTTACCGCTGCCCAGCCTCAGTGCGGTGGATCCTGCAAGTAGGTCAGACAGGTTGGGGAAGGGTGCTCAGTCCAGGAGGACAGAAGGTGCCATCCAGGCCCCAGCTTCCTGCTCCTGCCTCCTGCACCCTCCCCCAGGAGCTGCCCTCTGCCAATTCCTCTTCCCAGCTCTCCCTTTCGCTGGTTCCCCTTCATGGCCACCTCTGCCACTGCTCTTCAAAGTCAGTGCACAGCCAGGGGCAACCAGAGGGCTCACCCTCTCATTCCACTGGCAACTAAAAGAGGTGGGTACTAAAGCCCACTTGAGGAGAAAGGGGTCCTCCAAGAATGAGCCTCAAACTCAGAACCCTCAGCCCCTCCTGGGAGCCCAGAGGTGAACAAGATTGGGGGGCCGGGGGGTATGGCAGGGCCAGAGAGCAGACTTGGAGGGCTACCTCTAGTTCTTCTCTTTCTGCCTTAGTCACACTTGCTGTCTCTGGAGCTGCGTCCAAATCCCCTTCCATAGCTCCATCTCTGAACTCCACACACAGGACCCAGGTGCACCTCAGGTCAAAGGGCGGAGGACAGCAGAGGGACCCTGAGCACGTGTGCAAGAGTCTCTTCATATCCCTGGCTTCTGAGTCCATGTGAAGCCTCCGGCTCGTTCTCCCCCTCAGAAACCAACAGTAGAATCTGGCTGACTGCCAAGTGGCCTCTGGAACCCATGTGGCAGCTCACATTGCAACCTCATAAATAACTTATCACCTCCCTCCTACCCACACCTCTGAGGAACCCGTATCCCCTGGACCAACTCCCCCTTGCTCTGCCTCTCATGGCTTTAGGCTTCCACAGGCCAAGGCTCAGTGGCAATTGAGCAGGTTCCAGGGAGCAGGAGGAAGGATGTCCTGGGCAAAATTAGGGCTTTCCTGGGTGGAGGCAGGCAGAGAAAGATCCCCTAGGGATCCCTAGAACTCTGGCAGTCAGAATGTGTCCAGGCAGGGGTCCCAGGAGTAGCCTACAGATTTAGAGGCCTTAAGGGGCCAAGGTGGCACTGGGGAGCCCTGGGAAAGCTGTGGGATAGGACCACAGACTAATCCCAGGGTTCCCAGCTCAGAGTCTTACTACCCAGAAACTCCCACCCTAAAGGTGGAGCTCCAACGAGGAGATATATCTAGAGGACAAGACTTCCAGGTCGTCTCAGGGGACAGGCCTCACCAGTGGGAGGCAGTGCCCTGGGAAGGCCTGCATGGATGACCCCAGCAGCATCAGCAGAGACCTTTGCTACCTGCAGATGGCCTGTGTGGCCCTCAGCCTGGTGGCTGGCAGCATCATCATCATCGTCTCCGTGTCCAAGGCTGCAGCCGCTGTGGGTGGCATCTTCATTGGTGCCGCTGGGCTGGGTGAGCAAGTGCTGGGCTGGGCTGGGCTGGGCTGGGCTGGGGGGATTCTGGGGAGAGGAGCAGGGGCAAAGTCCTATGAAGGAGAAGTGGAGGGAAGGGCTGGGGAGAATGGAAACTGAAGGTGTGAGCAGCAGCCAAGGGATGCAGGGAGGGGAAAGGGGTTAGAGGAAGCTGGCTGTCACACTTCTGTCTAGCTGTTCCTCTCTGCTCTTCTGGACTCTTAGGTTTGTGATGGGATTCCTCAGCCTCTGACGGGGGCAGGAGTTCCCAGAAATCCTCTTTGAGCCAAGGGGTGTTCCTCTTCTTTCCCTATTTGTCTCCAGAGCAGCTGTCTGTCTGTCTGTCTGGGTCAGGTGCACTGATATCCCCACAGTGATACTGAGTGCCATCTTTCAGCTCACCTGCCCTGGGCCAAAAATAGAACCAGAAACACCAGGAAGGGGGCTCTGGGCAGCTGCACCTGTAGATTCTGGCAGACATTTGGTCTGGGGGTGACAGGGGAGTAGGCAAGACAGAACTCACTCTGCTGCTACCCCTTCCCCAGGTCTGGGTGGGGAAGGGCATGCTTAGGTGCCCCCAGGCTGCCCAAGGGGCCCTGGGGAGGGTGAGGTGGGGGAAGAGTTGGGGGCAGTGGCCTCTGGGCCCATTTCCAGCAACCTGCTCACCACTTGGGTGGGTGGAGCCAGCTGTAGCCCCTTACGCAGATAGGCACTGTCCCCCAGCCCAAGCTGTGTGTCAGGTCGCCAGCGTGTGCCCCATGCATACACCCACAGGTTCATGCTTACACACTTAGTCTCAGCTCTGCACACTGTGCTCTCCCACGCATACCCGTATCATTTCACAAACCACCCCCAGGCTCACAGCCCCCACACATCCTCGTGGTGCCCCACACTCACCAGGCCACCTCCCCATCACAGAACCCCTCTCTGCCCCCTTCTCAGGGATCTTCATGTTGGCCTACCCCTTTCTGAAGACTCGGCTCAACCTGGACCACATCCTATCTGCCATAGGTGAGTCCTCCTCCCCCCGTCACCCCAGCAGACTCCTCTGCCAAGGACAGAGTGAGACCCTTTATGTAAGTCTGTGACCCAGGGTGCGGCTGGGCCAAGCCCACGTGTGAGACTGCTGCTGGCTGGCTGGTTACAGTGGCTGTGTGTGTATTGTGCAGGCGTTGCCATGACTGCAGTGTGGCAGAATCCAGCCTGTTGTGTGCTGCAAAGGTGCCTGAACCAGCTCAGAGAACCTGGAGAGTCCGCCTCTCTTGAGAGAACTTCCCTTCCCCCACAAGCCTCCAACATTTCCAAATAACTCCCTCTTCATCCCTGAACCCCATAAATACCCTCCATCTCCCTTAAGATCCTACAAACTCTGCCTAGCTCCCAACCTCATCCCACCTCCCCACACACAGACTCCCATCTCTATCCATCCTGTGTGGCTTTACATATCTCCGGTTCTCCCCAGAACCCCTACCTCCCTAAAAAATCTGCCGCCTTCTCCTTCAGGGCCCATTTCTTCTGTCCCCTACCCCCAAATCAGCCCAGATCGTGTGAGAGAACTAAAAGAATGCAGTGGAGTAAAGACACAGCAAGCAGCAGGGATGGAAATTAGACACCAGGAAGGACTTCCCTTTCTAAGGAGGGTTTGATTTGGGAATGACTTAGTAACCAGGAAGCTTGGGATGGTCTCATCCTGCAGGGAACCTAAGAATCCATCCCCATCCAGGGCCAGACCACGGGGAAGGAAGATCCAGTATCAATGGCAGTAAGGACGGTAAGTTCCAGAATTCCAGAGTCCCGAGGTTTCATCTTCCCTCTCTGACTCCGTGGGGCCCAGGGAACAGCCTTGCAGGGCACGAAGAAGGGCTCCCTCAACACGGGGAGCAGGGCAGTTGGGTAGTTCTCCACCTGTTCCATCACACCTATCCTGCTCCATGCTGAATTGATCACCTCTTATTTATCCAAAGGCTTCTGAATCGTGCCCAGCAGGACACTGAGTAGGGCGCCTCACTGCTCTTCCCACTTCCCTGCCCCAGTTTATCTTTCCATTCCCCTCCCCCACTGTGAAATCTAGCCCTCGAAGCTGGCACTTGAAACTGGGCATCTCCTTGTTCCCCTATCTGGAAAATTCCAGAGCAGGAGTTTCACAAGACGGCCCAGCCCACTCTCTGCCCCCAGTGGTAGTGACACCTAATACTCAGCAAAAGGTCCCATTCCAGACACTGTTCCAAGCACTTTACCTATGTTAACTCTCTTAAGTCTCACAACAACAGGATGAGGGAGGTCTATAATGAGCTTCATTTTATATGTAGGCCAGCCAAGGCACAGGGTGAGTAGTATCACGAGGTCACACAGCTAAGAAGTGGGGGAGCCAGCAGGCAGCTCCAGAGCCCTGCCTCCAGCCCCAGCCTCCAGCCCCAGCCCCTGCTACTGTCCTCTTGAGGAGCTGTCCTGACCATAGCTGCCTCTCTGAACTGGGCTGAAACTGCCCCTGGGATGCCCCCAACACTCTATTCTATCTCAGCCCTGCCCTGGGGTCACTGGGTGCTCCAACTCCAGGTCCCCTTAAGTTCCTCCAACCCTGATAGGAAACTGACAGTTCAGGAAGCCTTTGTCCCTGGTCTCTCTCCCCCAGGAACCCGCAGCAGCCTGTCCACTGTGAGCAGGACCCTGGAGAAGCTGAAGACAGGGGCCCGGGGGGCTGAGGAGTCCTGAGGCAAGGGCTGAAGGCCACCCCTGCCACGCCCGTCCCTCCTGCAGGCTGCCCTATCTCAGAGCCCACCTGGATTAGAAGATCCAAACCATAGATGAACTGGGTCCTGGAGCCACCAGAGCTGGATTCCACTGGCATGGGTGGGGCCTCAAGCAAGGTGTCACCAGAACCCCTCCACACACACGCACATGTACACACAGAACTCCCTGTTTCAGATCTTTGGGGTTGTTCGTTTATTCTTTTGAGACAGAGTCTCACTCTGTCACCCTGGATAGAGTGCTGTGGTGTCATAGCTTATAGCAACCTCAAACTCCTGGGCTCAAGAGATCCCCTTGCCTCAGCCTCCCAAGTAGCTGGGACTATGGGTGCCTGGCTACAACACTTGGCTAGTTTTTCTGTTTTTTAGTAGAAACAGCATCTCACTCTTTCAGGCTGGTCTGGAACTTCTGAGCTCAAACAATCTACCTGCCTCAGCCTCCCAAAGTGCTAGGGTTACAGGTGTGTACCACCATGCCCAGCTCCTGTTTCAGCTCTTAACTTGGCCTTTCTTTCTGGACTACAGCTCAGCTTCAGTCCCTTTGTGATCTACTGACTGGTTTCTCTGGAATTTAAAACCCAGGGCCCTGACTACCACCAGGATGCCCCAGTGCTATGCTTCATCCTGGCCACAGAAGTGGACCACAGGTCCATGGGGAACCATAGATAGGAATCCTCATCTTCGTTGGCCTGGCCCTGGGGTTCTAAAGCTGGAAAGGGCTAGGCCGCATTCTTTTCAGAATATCAAAAACTCCTGGGCAGTTTCTCAAGAGCAGGCTCTAAGAAGCAGTGAATCAGACAGGGGAACTTGAGGGGCTCCTGGCCCCTGGAGGAGAGAGGTTCACAGAGGGACAGACAACCTGGCCTAAGGGTCAAAGGAGGTGACTTCAGAACTGAACTCTGGGACTGTTGTTCTAAATCCCCCCACACAAGACCTCCAGCCCTCCCTCTTTCCCTATCTTCTCGCTGGTCTCTGAACCTTTTAAACACTTCCTGCCTCCAAGCCTTGGCGTTCAAGTGGGCCCTCCCTGCTCCTCTCTGCTTATCAAAACTCCTCACCTTTGAAGGCCCAGTTCAGAAAGTCCCCTTACCACATCCTCTTCTCACCCTCTTCCACTGGCCACCCTGGAAACCCTTTCCAGGAAGGTCTGAAGTCTTCCTTTTCACAAAACAATTATTAAGCCCACTTAAACACACTGAATATTACCCTTTTTCTAGGTATAGCACCAGGCAAGGCACATAGTAGGTACTTAATAAGTGTTAATGGCTTAAATTTAATGAAAAACAATTACACTTCCGAGCCCCATCTACTCACAGGGTTTGGGGCAGGAGGCCTGGGTATGTGGCCATACAGAAAAGAGGGCTCCTCCCTCCATGCCTGCACCCTCCTGGTGTAGCAGAGTTGACATCTACAGAGACCCACTCCCTGTGATCTCCGCCCTGGTTTGGTGAGCAAAAGCTAAGCTAGGAATCTTCTTGTTCCTCTAGGATCAGAGCTGATGATACCTCCTCTTGGAAGCCTCCCCTGACTACACTGTGCTCCCATAGCCCCCAGGGCTTCCTCCATCACAGCCCAGTCACAAGTGGCCTTTGTCTATTTCTTTTTTTTTTTTTTTTTTTT